TAATAGTGGGAAGCGATTAGCTTCAACGTCAGAGTTCCGAACCAGGAAGTCTGTCTGCTCTCCTGTCTGACCACATGCCGTTCACTCGCAGCAGATATTCGTGAGTTGCGAACAATGCATGACTCCGATCACCGAAAGCTGACACACAGCTCGAAGCAAGGGAATCGTACGACTGAAGCAGCACTACATCAGTTGCTCGTCAAAAGAGCACTCAGAAAAAACAAGGAGTTTAATTTCTGCTGAATGAGCTCAGCAGCCATATTTTCTACGACAGTGTTGTCGACAAGGATCAAGTGTCCACTTAAACACTCGGATTAGCCCTGTTGAATTCAACCTCCTACCGTCTCGACCGATGCACAGTCTTGTCTCGCTGGGCACCGTGCAATCAGAGTGGGCCGTGGAGTTTGGGGGCTTCAGCAGGTCCGACAGAACGATTCAAGGCATCTGATCTGCGAGTGCAACAGTGTGCCTTAGCAATCATTGTGCTCAACTGCGACCGGGCTCCGGCTTTGCGGCTGACCTGCCATCTGGTACCATTCGCTGGCTGAGCTGCCGCAATTGAGTGCCTTTCCACGTGCAGCCCGAAGGAGTTGCAGCAAAAGCTTCGTGATGATGGAGGTTCCAGGGAGTGCTGATCGTCATATTAGCCTTTGTTTCCTGTGAGCCTCCTGCCGGCTTCAAACTGAGTTCAACGTCTAGCTCAGAACGGTGCATGGGCATGGAAGTTATCAATGTAGTGGCTTTGCTTGTTGTCGGAGTCCCTTCTGACAGCCACAAAGCTTCTGTGGATGGCTTCATTGCGCTTTCAGCTTGTTCGAGGCGAAACAAGTCCTGGCACGGGGAGGATCCTTGAGGACGGCTTGCTGATCAAGGAGCGATGCTGACAACATCAGTGCAGATGCACCATTTTGCCACACATGCTGCGCCTAGGAGTTCCTAGATCGTGCCGTCCTGAGAGTCTGCACAGAGTTGTGGTAGGCATTGAAGTCGAAGTCACGTTCGAAGGTACTCAGACCCAGATTTCGCAGGAAGGGCTTGTGGCGCTGTGCTGAGGGCCAGCTCTGTTCCATGCGCATGTTTCCAAGCGAAGTAGGAGTCGCAGTGAAATCTTTGTTGCTGCTCAAGCTTCGCATTCGTATTTGACTTCCAGTCTTGTCCCTGGCACTGCCCTATGACGTGTTGCGTCATGCCTGCTGTGGCGGTCATGTTGCCCGGCTTGATGCCTCATGACTGCTTCAGCCCCACAGGAAGAGGGTTTAAAGAACGGTGTAGTGTGTGTGCATGCCTATGGAGAAACTTGCTGTAGAGGGCATTCCCTGGAAGGATCGCCTACTGATTCCGAAGACTCAGACCACATTCAGATCGCGGGCTCTTGTCAGTCGACCACCGCAACATGCTCACACGGAGACGGCTCGTGCTGGCATCCGCAAACTAGAGCTGTTGACGCTGTTGGCATTTGTGCAGATTCTCAGGCAAAGCGCGAGTGGAGGTTGGAGGGGAGCCCTACTTTTGGAACCGCTGAAACTGTCCCGGGCCTTTCCAGCAGCTTGTCGTGAAAGCCAGAGAGCCTTGAATTGCCGTGCGGGAGTGTGAAGCCGAGGTCTTCTTAGCAGCGTTGGCCTTTCCAGCTACGAAACAGCAGCGGAAGCATGGTGCCACCAGATGGGAGCAGCACACTTGACGGAGTTGGCGGAGGAGGACAATCTGAAATCCTTCGGCGAAGCCTTGGGAAGCAAAGGTCAGGGAAGCGAAATTGGGATCACAGCTGTTTGCCGCCTGTGTCGGCATGTCGAGGATTTAAACGCTCTTGAGGCTTGATCTTGGCATGTCTGTCCTGCTGAAGAGGTGGATTTTCCGACTCTGCCCAGAAGCGTCTTAGCAATGCCCTCAAGAGAGTGGCAGCCTCACCGCAGAGAGCCTGTGCTGCAATTACTGGTCTATACAAGTGGGTCAAGCTTTCTTCCTACAGCAGAACAGCAAAGCTTTTCAACCGTTGTAACGTATAACCTTTATTACTAGCGTTATCAGAAGACTGCTGCTGCTACTACTACTGCTAATTCCACGGCTGCTGCTACCGCTACGGCCACTGCCACTGCCAACGCTACTGATTCTGCTACCACTGTTCTACGTGTTATTCTACTACTTCTACTCATCCTCCTCCTCCTCTCTTCTCCTGCTCTTGCTGCTACTACTACTACTACTACTACTACTACTACTACTTCTCCTTCTCCTTCTCCTCCTCCTCCTCCTCCTGCTGCTGCTGCTGCGACTACTACTGCTGCTACTACTACCACTACTACTGCTGCTGCTA